AATACTCCTTTCGTACACCCTCAGTAAAGTCCTACTCACCAGTGAGTTTTACTAACAACTTCCCAACTAACAGTGTTTTGACGTCTAAATTTGTGTTCTTCGTTACAGAAGTCCAGTCTGATTTCTTAATCTTTGCAGAAATAGAAAGTTTTTTGTAGGATTACACCAGATGGGGAGAAAAAGGAACAGAAAAGGACATAAGGTAATTTTCTAGGTAGCCTAGCCGGTCCATGAGTCAAGGTGGCATATGCTTGTAGTAGCTTAACTCCTAACAGTATAAATCTCTTGCATCCACATAAAGTTGGGATCCTTAATACCCATACCACCTTTGAAAATGCTGCTAAGGATTTAACAAAAATGTTTTGGTTGCTGAGGCCAAGTTAAAAGACTGTACTCGCAGCCCACCCACCGGGACACAAAGATGCACTGATTCAAACCTCTGTGCAGGTAATATGTGACTGCAGAGGCTGAACTACCTGGAAGATAACTTCAGCTAGGCTAGGAGAAAGGAAAACGAAGATAATGGATACGAAACAGCTATATAACGATCTGCAAACACACATAGCCTCTACTTCAGCACCCATAAAACTTAAAGGATAAAAGAAAAGGAAATTGCTTTCAAAATAGCAAAGACAATTTTATAAACATTTCTTCTTAGGCTTTTATAGGGTGTTGGACTTGTTGCCCTGTTTCTGGTATTAGGAGTGCTGCATGTATTAGCTTTTAGCATGAAGAGAGGTATATTCCAGGAAAGTCTTTGCTTCATTTTCCCTTCTAACCTGCATATGCACACATATTAAATTTTTTTTTTTTCTTAAGCAGCCCTATTGTAATGGTCACTTGGCACTTCAGCCAGCCCAAGGGTGCCAGTGGTACTGTCCTGCACATTAAATCAGCTTGCATTGCCTGGGCTACATTTCATCCTGTCCCACGGCTGTGAACAGGGATCTGTCCTAACACCAAGTGACTGTGTGGCTGTACAAAGCAATGATCTGATTTGAAATAAGTGAAGAAATCCAACAGTGACCACAGCGGTTTCCCTGGACTAGGCTTAGATTTTGCCCTTTTGCAACCAGCATAGCTTTGGGCTGTCAATATCTTTATAGCTATTACAAGTCCCTTAAGCAAGAGCACAGTTTGACCGTCCTTCCTTTGGACTGCAATGCCGAATTACACACCTGTGTCCCTCCTAAGGCTTGTTTCCCTCCCAGAGTGGTACCAAGGCTCTTTTCTTTTAACTGGACTGGATCCCAAGCCCAAATCATGGTGCAGCCCCAACACAGTCCTGGGAGCAGCCAAGAGGTGCCACAGCTGGGAGCCGCTTAAGGAACCCCAAGGGTGCTGTGACAGAGGACAGAGGACCTGTGGCAGTTTTAAACACGTGGAATGAAAACCTGCTGTGTTGCCTAACATGTATCTTCTTAAAGAACTTAATGGAGCCAAAAGGAGAAATTTGCTGCAACCTAAGAGTCATTTGTGCCTTTGAAACTCATCCTGAGTTTTGCAAACTTTTAGTCATTTTAGAAGAGCTGAGCTGAATTCGAATCACGAATTGCACCGGGTGTAAGTTGTTCCTCTCCTAGGAAAAGAGAACAATGGTGTGTACTTCACAACTCTCAGCTGCAGATTTCTCTCTAGCCTAGACATGAGCTTTGCATAAATTCAGAGCTCACCAGTTATTATGGCTTTATCAAGAACCTTATTAGTGATCATTAAAAATAATCTTGCTTAGAAGGGGACTGCTATGTGCAAAGCCCATCTTTCCTATTTACTTTGTGACTATTAATGTTTTTTTTTAATGTTTATACATTAGTGCAAGGAATAGTGTTAGCATAATTCTAGTGTAAAATAAAACCAGCTGTATCCATTATAAGTGCATTACTGCCAGGAACTGTAAATATGTTTATGCCTGATAGCCTTTTGACTCAATAATATCCTCCTATCTCTGTTGGGCAGGCAAGTTTTTAAACCAAGAAAAGACAGGTTATGATTTTCATAACCAAACTGTGTTTCTTTTTGAAGTATGTTATCTAAATTCAAATTTTAAGAAGGTCATTAAAAAAATCTGCCTGTGATTTTAAAGGAGAACAATTGAAATGTCATCTTCAAAGTGGTGGCAAGAAGGTACAATGTGCACTAAGAACAAGTTATTCCTCCCAGATATACACATACACAGACAAACCCTGCCGTATCATACCATACAAACAATTTTAATTGTGTAGTTACAGTCAATAACCACTCCTAGTCAGAACATTTCTGCATAAAGAAAATTGTGATACACTTATAAAAACAGCCAGCTGTAACAAAATAACTGGTGTTTTCATAGCAATAAACTCATAAAAAAGAAATACACCTTTATACAGAAAATTTATACAGCTGTAGCTTTAAAATTGATTGTAAACCAAAGGAAGACACATTGCAAACATCAATTATTTTCACATTAATTGCATAAGTTTCTAAGGTGATCTATTAGTTTTATTTACCTAAGCTTATTTGCATGATAGTAAAAATTGCATACAACAATAAGAGTGAAGCTTATAGTATGAATTGCTTGGATAACATAGAGCACTTTTTATAGGCAACTGTGTAAAGCACATTTTCTCTATTTAAAACTTTTAAGACACTTTGTTTTACTGCCCATCAAAATACATTTATAAATAGAAAAAAAATTCAGTATGATAACAAGAGAAGCAATATTACATTTAACGGAAACTTCCAAAAAAATTAATTACAACATGATGCTGCAGGATCTACAAATAAATAATGAGGACTAAATTGTGTTTCACATTTTCTTTTTCATTTTCTTTAAAACCATGTAACAATGAGAATGGAAAAAAAAAAATACAGTGACCTTTATTTCCAAAAGAAAACAAATCTGAATTACGGCAGTGCCATATAATACAAGGCATTTGTTGGCATATGTTATCTTTAAACTGCATTCCACAGTCTATAGTTCTTTTGTAACATACAATAGAACAAGAGTAACAAACTCTTTTTTATTTTATTTTTTTAAATAAATGTGAGTTTCCAAAGATCAAGTGTGGAGTGCTACAGTAATAATTAAAAAACAAGAACAAAACAGAAACAAAAAACAGTAAATCACAAAAGTTGTAATGCTTGTCTGAAGGCTCCAGAATCAAAATCACTGGTATCATGCTTATTGGGTACACTCACAGTGTATCCAGTGAACACAAATTAATATCAAACAATCCTCAACGCTTCATCTGTTGCTGCGAAGCAGTTTGTAAAACAGAGTAAAACATCTAGTGCAGTCTGCATTATCCTTTTTTCAACTTTTGTGCAAGTTTTGGAAGATTCATTGGCCAAACAATGAATAATAAAGGTTTTTGACAGAACGCAAGATGGAATTTTCATTTCATTAGTAAATACCAGTGGCACTGTTGAAAGAAAATAATACTTTTAGATCAGTCTTTCAATTCAGCATTAATCTCTGTGTTCCCTTCTACTGATAACTCTTCTTCTAGTTTAACTGAAAAAAGTGTGTTTGCATTTTTGTCTTGGACGCTGTCTTCTAAATCCTTGAGCAACTCTTCTTCTTTGTACTCTGCAACATCCACCTCCAAACCAGAATTGTCCTTCAGCTTCCCATGGTGCTTGAGATAATATCGCTGGTTCTGAAAGAACTTGATAATGGTGTACTTGGGCAGGTCAAGCTGAGCGGAGAGAGTCTGGATTGCTTCTTCATCTGGATACAGGCCTACGTCTTGTATGAAACTCTGTAGGATCCCTAGGGCTTCAACAGAAATCTTTGTTCGCGGTCGGGGTTTCTGACGATTTTCATCCTCAGATTCAGCTGGTGATGCTACTGTCGGTTGCCTTGGGGGTAGTCTGGGACCTGGTTGCTGTTGCTGCTGCTGTTGTTGCTGTTGCTGCTGTTGCTGCTGCTGCTGCAAGACAAAGCACAGCATTTTTTTTGTATGTGTATTCTTTCTCATATTTTGTGATACCAAGAAAATCCAGGGGGGGGAATTGCAAAGCTATAAACAAAGGTTTAGTAAGTTTAAACAACAAAAAGGAAAAAAAAAAGAAAAAAGAAAAAAAAAGGCCCATTATTGCTGAACCAGAATTAAAATACGAGTTAGTAACTCTCTGCATATCTTGGATGTGTCCATATGTGTGTGAGCAGAGGCAAGGGATAAAGGGACAGTGGGATACGGACAGAGAGGTGGAAGGAAAACACTGGCTTTGTCTGACTGAAAGCGCCGATGACGAGACATCGGTGCGGTTTAGCTGACAAATTTTAATGAACATGCTCCATGAGTCAAGTGCAGACAAGACAAAATGCTAAGTAGGTGACACAGTATAGGATTAACTTGACCAGCTTAGCCAGAACTGCAGCAAGGGCAAAGTGAGAAAAGTGCCAGATGAGGGCAAACGCACAGGAGCTCTGCCAGCAGCAGCAGCTGCTGCCCAAAAACAAGGGCTGCAAATCTCTAGCAATAGCTAGACTAAGGGACTGGGGGGATCAGGGAGAAGGAGAGCATTTTAGCTAAGTGCGGAAATATCCCGCTACTGATCTGACCTTAGCATGCACTGAAGTCTCATCAAACTTGCAAACGTTACGACAGAATGCGTTAGCTGGAAGTGCCTAACGTCACACTGTCAAACCCAGCCTCGGCAAGGACAAAGAGATCTGGAGGTAGGAAATCTGTATTTCCCCTTCTGGTTCTGACCTCTCTTGCCTGTGTTCAAGTATCCCAATGTATAAACAGGGAAGAAACATATTTACCTGCTTCTGTGTTTGTGCTGGGGATTATTTAGTTAATATTTATAAAGCACTAAGATGCAAAGCTCTAAATAAGTTGCACTATTATTATTAGAAGGGAACATGCTGCATTCCAAAAACTCAGGCAATAAAAATGAGCCAGTATGCACATCAGAAGAATAAGATAAAGCAAATCATGATGTAAATAATTAACAAGAGCTTAAAACGAAGTTTTGCAAGCATGGATTCAGAAACATTCTTAAAAGGTGAGGCACTGAGCCCCAGGGACAGAAATGTTTTTCTCATCCACCACTGGAGTAGAGTACATTATAAGATCATGTTTAAAATCAAAAGTAAATTTATCAGCTACTGTTTTTGTTGACAATTCTTTTGCTTCACAGCACAGGAAGCATTGGTTAGTAAGATATTTTGGATCAGCAAATTTCTTGTCATATGGTACAAACCACCAGTTATTATTAAAAAACAACAGCAGCAAAACAAGCAGTTGCTATCACTACATTTCATTTCCCTTTGCGAGTCTCCCCTCAACAATTTTTCGTGTGTCGGTAGCGGTTCCCAAGCTTCCAGTTGCAGCTCACTTGCAGACCCTAAGAAGCACAAAATACTGTACGAATAGTATAAATATTGGAGGAATTATAATTCTGTCCATTTCGCAGTGCCACTCGTGGTTGTGGAGACTTCGCACAGGTCTCAACACCCAGTTTAGAAGCCACTGCTTTAAGTGATCTTCTTATTGTAAGATCGGCCACAAATGCTAGTGGAATTAGGGCTCTTGCCTCATCCCTATTCACATCCTTTCATGTTTTATGGTCTGTGAGCAGTCCCATTCAAGGCTTCAATCCCAAAGAGATTCAAGACTACTCCCAGCACATTAAATTCTTACAAGACTGGAGGCTTTGTATATACAGTTTGAAAACTTGTGTCTTACTACATATTTATGCATCTACAACAATTACCATGTAGAAGAGCAGAGACAAAACTCAGGCCCAATCTCCCAATCCTTACTTTTACAAGTCATATTAAGAGATTACAACGCAACTGCTTATGTGAATAATATTTGTGAGATCAAACACACAACTTCTATCAACAAGGCAAGAAAATCTAAGTAAGTGGTATAGTGGTTGAATGTTTATACTATGCATAAGCTTCTCCTTTTATCCCCTTAAGAAGCGATTTTATTAAAAACAATGTACATTTTCAAACAAATGCTGTTTTATTACTTAATATAGATCTTTCTCTCTCTTTTTGCTAAATCACACAGCAAGTTTCCAGGCTTTCACAATTATTTTAGTACTTGATATCCTAAGGGATTGTCTTATTCAGTTTGCTTTATCTTTAATATATATTCGTGTTGTTTCTGGCTGCGAGATAACTCTATCCTCCCTAGCTTCCCAAATATTTTTCAGTATAGGTAATACAAGTGATACACTGGGTCTCAGCTGAGGTTGGGAAAGCCTGGGGTAATATCTGCCCTTTAAGAGGCAGCAGTTAAAAGGCTGACCTCAGGTCTTTTGTGAGAAGGGATTAAAGAGTCCCCAGCTCAGAGAGACAGCAGTCCGCGCTGCCGACCTGGGCTACAATATTTAGCAAAACAGCCAGCCACGCTCCCGGTTCGCGGTGCCCATGCGAGCAAAGGGTGGGTGCAGACCCCGGAGGAGGGGGCACGGCCGGGGCTGCCCCGGAGCGGAGGGCGGCTGTTTCCAAGCCCCGTGGCGTGGGTCCTGCATCCCCTCCTCTCTCTCCCTGACACGGTGCCCTTGTGCCAGCTCACCTGCGGAGCAGCACCCAGCCAAGGTCCAGCGGTCAGCAGGCCTGGTAAGAAAGCGCCTCTATGCTCTCCTTTCCCAAGGGTGGTGGGAGAGGGGCTCTGAAGGAAAAACAAACAAATATTGACTCACCCCAGCCTCGACTGGGGTTAAAGTGGGATGAGGAATCCCCTTCCCTTCGCTCCTACCCGGGGCGAGCCGCCGCTTGCTGAGGGTTCAAGCTTAGCTTTTGAACAGGAGCGCAACAAGGTCCTCCCGCTTTGCTGGTAAGGCGTTTGACAACCGGTGCCAAACGCCTCCGCCTTTCGATCCTGACGCCTGTCTAGCCAGGGACAGCCAGCACCGAGGCTCGCCCTGCCCACGCAGGTGCCCCTGCGCCATCGCGTCCACGCACGTTTGCAAAAAACCACCGAACCGAAACAAAAACCCGTGGGTGGTCGCACGCTCTCCTTTGAACTCTGGTGGCGGACGGCAGCGCGCTCTTATCGCGTACCGGGAGACCTGCATTTAGCCTGGCCGGGAGGAAAGAAACACTAATTTCCTTTGCTCCGTTTAAAGCTTTATTTACTTAGCGCTCTGCGGGATTGGCCAAGGTAAACTAACCTGAATCTGTTCTGCTGGCACATGGATAATGTGGGAAGGCCTGTCACCATGGTGATGAACTGCATTGCTTTCTTGTTCATAAATGGCATCGCGTTCAGGCTGAGGAAGACTGAGGAACCTTCGGATCATGGAGAGATTCTCCCAGAGGGTCCTGTTCTCTGGTGAGGGATCTTCTTTCCAACGTAACAGCTCACAGAGCCACCCCTTGAAGATAACACCAGCAAAACATTAGTTTTTTCCCCTCACTTCACGAGGGGCAAAACGAGGGCGAAACGTGTACTTTAGCAGCGCTGCATTCTCTCACGCTCTCCCCCGGTAAGAAAGGGCTTTCGCTGTAAAGGCTGGGCTTAAAGCAAACACCGATAGACGGAGAGGCTGCCGCGCTATTTCACACAGAGCCACCCCTTGAAGATAACACCAGCAAAACATTAGTTTTTTCCCCTCACTTCACGAGGGGCAAAACGAGGGCGAAACGTGTACTTTAGCAGCGCTGCATTCTCTCACGCTCTCCCCCGGTAAGAAAGGGCTTTCGCTGTAAAGGCTGGGCTTAAAGCAAACACCGATAGACGGAGAGGCTGCCGCGCTATTTCACAGACCCTCGCTGGAAAGCACCTTCCCCTTGGTCCCGCACCACAGTGCTGTTGGTTGTTTGCTTAGAAACAAACCAGTCGAGGAAGGCAGAATCCCTTACACGCTCCCTTCCACAGGACAGGGGTTTCACTGACGCCAGCATATTCTCTCTGCTGCCTGTTTTATTTTATGCAAGGCTACACCCATCCAAGAGCATCGACACCGTGTTTCAGGCGCTGGTAGATTGTCTGCTGAGCAATTTTTTAAATCCTGGTGCTACTACTCAAAACAAGGAAGTACTTCAAATATCTGCCTTGACTGTAGGGCTGCCTAATGTAAATCATAGCCGTAGAGGAGCTCCCTAATGTCCTTTTGAAAGACAGGAATCCTTTGACTAGACGCAGGCAAGTAATATCTTCTTCCTATCTGCTACGACTAGAGGTGACTCTGCAGGTGAACTTATTTCGAGTGATAGATCATTATCTGTTTCAGGATTTTTCTCACAGACCCAGAAAAAAAAAGTCTCTCAGTTTTATGTACACTATTAGGGCTTGGGGCAGGGGGGCAAGGTATGCTCAAGCTTCTGATATACCCTTTATACCATTTCCGGATCACAGGACAGCAAGTTGCCTAAGAGTGTACCTACTTTAATTCAGACGTGGTTTTGGGATACATGCTATGAAGTCGGCTACAGAATCCCCTGCAAGAACTGCAGCGGTTGCTAATTTGCTTCTGAAAGACACAAACAAGTTCATCTTGAAAATTTAACAATTGTTTTCTTATGTCTTCTTAAAATCTAATTGAGGATTTTTTTTTCTTAATTGTGCGCTCTAGTTTTAAAAGAAGAGTGCAAACACTCTAGCTAGCACAGTGTGCATCAGCAGCAATTTTTTGGTATATTAAAATTTAGAAACAAAATATTACATGTATAAAACATGCATACTTCCTTTCTTTTAGCTTCAAGGGTCTGTTTTCAAAACTAGGTCCATGCAATTTTATTTCTTAATGCTGTAGGAAAGATAATGTGACATTTTATTGAATCAACAAATAATATAAATGTACAGAAGCTTTTAGATCCTTTTTATATCTACTGGTAGTTGAAAAATGGTTTATCCAGACTAGTTTACTACTAGATACAATAGATACATAGAGACAATATAGATATGTATTTTCTTGAAGACATTCGTATCTTTTGCTAGCAGTTAACAAATGCAGTGTAAAAATATTGCCACAATAGAAAGAGGTGAAAGTAAACAAATAATCTTAATGCATTCACATTGTATACGAAAATATTTAGTGAGGTGTGTATAAAAATTTGAAGTATATTCTCTTGGGTATAAGTGGAAAACTGAACAAATGACCCAGGAGAAAATGCCCCTGAGAAATAGAAATAATCAAAATGACAAATGTTAGAGAGATGGTGGTAGCAGAGCTGAGAAAGCAAAAATTTAAATGGAGCCAAAATCCGCCGGGTGCTCACTAGGTGTGCTAGGGAGGGAGGGGAGAGGGAGGAGAGCAGCGGCAGCAGAAGAGGCCCCTTGCACCCCGGGGGTGGAGCGCACCCCGTTCCTTGACCACGCACTAAGGGTGGATGCTGAATATTGCCCCAGGGCTTAGCAAGCTGGGCCAAACGCCTTCATATAGAGCACATAACGTACAGCCTGTCCCAGCTGGAATTGTATGGCATGTTTTTAAAACAGTAGCAAGGGTGTGTGAATTCTCCCTCCCCCTCGTAAGGTGCCCTGGGATGCGTTAGCAGGTTAATGTACGAACTCTCCCTGCCCCTAACAAAATCAACACGTTGCTCATGGTTCTCTGCCCACCTTGCTTCCACAGGGTACGTGCTGGATTATGCTCAATAGCAGTATTAGTTTCCTGCACCAAGTTAAAAGACATGCAATCGGAAAACATAGGTAGTTTGTTGGGGATGGAGGGGAGAAGAAGATGAAGAGAAACAAATCTGGATTTTTTAACTGAAATGCAGTCATAAAATTTTTAGTTAAAAAAACAAAACAAAACGAAACAGCCTGCCCCAAAGCACGAAAATTGTCCTTTGGTTGTCTGGAGTCTGCACTGCTTCACACTGAAACTGTTGCTCCTCTTTCTAATGGTGGTGAGGCAGAGAGCAGAGCTGACCATCACGGCAGTTCGGTGAAAGCAAAGAAAAGACAAGACCACCTGTCCCCTCCCATGATAGGTCTCTAAGGTATACAGACAGAGTGAAAAGAAATTGCACCACGCATTTAGAAGCTGCACATATTTTGTCTGGTGACCACATGAATCACAGATTTTTTTGGAGAAAAGACAGTAGAAACTCTTTTTTAAAGTCCAGTGGTAAAAATAATTCCTAAAGAATCACATTTTATGCTGATTGAACATATTTCACAACAATAGTTTTTGTTAACTAAGAAATTCCTTCTCCCCTTACTGTTTTTTCTGTTTCTATATTTACTAGATCAGACCTTATTTTTATTAATTACTGATGATTAACATTATATTTCCACTATTTTTCTATCAACTTTTGCACTGAAATAATACTTCTAATTCCTTATCTAAAAACGATTTGATGAATTGTAACGTGAAGCATGTCTCTGCTAGCCTTTCAGGGAAGCAGTGATTTTGAGATACTGAAATCAGGTGCTTCTGACACGGTACACAGAATAGACAGCTATTATACCAAAATGTCTCTTTTCCACTGGGTTCTTCACGTTTTTAAAGAAGTAGACATACTCTAATGAAACATATGATGGGCGAAGTGGCAAAACCCAACTGAATTCTTCTAAAATTACAAGGATAGAAACAATTTTTTTGGTTTTGATGGTTTATTTCTGGAAATATTTATGAAAATTGATCTCAGAAATATTCTCAGGAGAGACAGTGAATGGGCAGTTACAGGCGCTATAGGGGTTTACTTTGTTAGGAGACTACAAAATTTATACCAATATGCTTTCTTTTGGTTCAAAGCAAACAAACAAAATCATAATTATTTCATTCAGTTTCAGGTTCAGAATTCTGTATCTGACATAAAGGTCACTCACAGAAGTCAACTAGATGAGAATGTATGAAATGTTTTTGTAAATTTTAGGAAAAGTAATCGTACAGACTTTTCTAATGGTGAATTTTATGTTACGTAAAATCTGTAAGTTTTGTTTCCATTTGTTGTAAAGAAGTATGAACTGCTGTAGCTGATGCAGTTGAATTTACAAGTGAACCTAACAAGGCTGATTTTTCTCCTCTTACACTCATTTAAGTCCAGAGCAATTTCTGTCTAGTTCAGACAATTTATTCTGAAGGAGGGCTTGGACCACTGTTTTTTCATGTCTTTATAGTCTTACAGGAAGTGGAAAGGACCACAAAATAGTAAGGAAATAGTTATAACTCAGATTAGATCACAACTGGTTTATACATATATAAGCATATATAGTACATCATTAAAAAAACAGCCTTAAAATAATTAAGCCAATATATCTATGCAGCAAGGCAAACCCCCCAAAACTCTGTAATGACATTGGGAACAACCTTGATTTTAAAACAGAGTAAATTTGCCAGGCAACATTACACTGAATATAAAGAGAGTACAAAGCAAAATATAAACATTAGCCACATGTAAATATGTTTGGAGAACTTTCAGGATGTTACTACTTTTCAAACTGACAAAGTTTAATTTGACACCTTCTGTTCTAAAACCTTTGTTTCTATTCAAAATCACGCCTTTAGCTGCTATCAATCACTATGCTCTCCCTATTACTTAAAATACTGGCATGGGCCCTGGATAAGCTGAAAATGCCATGCAGATGAATTCTGAGATAATATGTTCAAACCTGTTATATACAACACAAATCCTGTAAAGTTATGTATTGTAAACCTACATTTATTGGGAACTAAAAGTCTTAAATCCATCTGCTACAAAGAAAATACTGTTATGCACTTTCAAGTAACCAAGTACCATCTGCAAAGGTCTTGCTACAGTAAGCAAGAAAATGGTGGAAAAAAAAAAGATGCTAAACCTAAGATATTTAAAATAAATAAGAGTCTTCTGTCTGGTTGTCTGATAGGGATTTGGTAAAGAAGCATAAGACATTAGAGGAAAAAAACCTGTGAAAGCTGAACTGCCAAACTATTGCAGGAAAAGCGCAAAGAGGATAACTGCCAAACATTAGACTCTGCAAGACCCATGAGCATGCTTATTTTAAAGAAAGCATCTATGCATTTTATCTATGTATCCAAATGCTATTTTATTCAGTCTGACCTCTGCTGTGTTTAAACAAAATCTTCTGCTCTTTCACGTTGAGTTTCTAACAAACTGTTCTTCCATTCTGGTATCTTTCTTATTAAAAGAATGAAAAAAAAGATAATTGAAATCTGCACTTAAGGTGTAAACACCAATCCTAACTAGATCAAAGAGGGTAGCATTACAATCATGAAAGATGTTTTCTGGGCAAGGCTTTCCAAATCAGCAATAAACACATCTAGTCTGGGAAAAAAGGGCTTCAAGGTGGAGCAATTGAACTCTTTCGTTTGGTGAATTTGTTATAGTGATAATAATTTGCCAAATGATGAATATTTCTTATAGAATAACTAACAAAGACCCCAACATTTTTTAAAAGAGCTGTGATTTGAATCTAAGAAGGCAA